AACAGGGTGTTGCATCGACATTTAGTAAAATTCAACAAAATCCAGTTTTCTACAATTTTCAATCTGTTTGGCTATTTTTTCAAAGCTGCAACCACCACTAAATTATTCAGCATACGTAATTACACTGATTTTGCCAAAATTCAGCTGGTTTAGACGGCTTCTTCATTATTTTCAAAAAGACGCTTATTAATCCCTGTTAAAATTCAGTTTTTTACAATTTTAACCCTGTTTGGCTATTTTTTCAGAAACCAAACCATCACCATATTATTCAGCATACTTGATTAAATTGATTATGTCGATATTTAGCTGGTTTAGACGCCATCTTCATTATGTTTAAAAGGTCACTAATACTATGTGATATTTAAATTTTTTGGCCAATATCTCAAAAACTATACGTGCTATAAAAGAATAGATTTGATTTATGAAATCAGCATTAAATTTTGTTTCTGAAAAGTAACATTTCAAAAAAAATCGAGAACAGGCGATTTTGCAGGTCCTCCTTGACAATTGGAATTCATCATGACATTGACATTCCTTCGTTGATATGTTTTTTTCGTGCATCTTTACAACTTTGTTTTCTTTGGTTTGTCAGTTTAACTTGACAAGGTATTGAAAGACTTGAAACAAGAGGAAAAAGAGAAAAATTTACAACTTAAAAAAGTTCCAAATCATGATCAAGCGATAAGAGAGCGAAAAAAAAAAGTTCAACTAAAGTCAACAAAGAGATGGACAGAAAAAGATTTAATTACGAAGATGAAGAGAGAAAAAAAAGTTTCTTTTCTACATGTTTCTCATGATAATTACCTTGATAGAATTTCCTGTTTCCTTCTTCTAATTGTTGAAAATTTTCATCCTCAGAACTGATCAAGAAAAAAATGAATAAACGGAAACATTCAGTGTTATCAAGTTTCCCTTTTTTTCTTACCAATTTTTATTCAACTCAACACAATTACTGTCTGGGAACACAAACGAATGTATTAATAGGCGAATAATATCATTATTATCGTCACTTGATAAAACACTTTCTTCTTCTTCTTCACTCTTCTTCAGTTGATAACAAAATTCCGTTTTTACCATTTGCTACTTTTTTATTCAGCTCATTAATCAATAATGATGATGATAGTTGAACAAATATTCCATTTGCTCATAAAAAGAAAATTGTATGAATATAATTTCTATTACACAGTTTATCTTCATCTTGCAGGGTAAACAAACCATTAGCTTGAGTAATTAAAAGTGTCAATTCAATATGTTCATCAAAACGAAACTGTATCACATCAAGTAATAAGTCAAGCTTTTTAGACGTAAAAATGAAAATCTAACAAAATTCAAACTGGAAACTCAGTTAAGCTGATTAAATTTCAGATAATTTTTCTGAATTTCTGTTGTTCTTCACGTCAATTTGTTACGATTTCATCATCTTTTGGAACAATTCGACAGCGAAAACGGACCAACGGAAAACTTTTCAAAATGAACTGCGATGGTTCGTAGATGTTTATTAGGATCAAATCAACTTCAGTTTCCAAAGGCATTTTAAATTTTTTTTTCGTTTTAAACACAATTTTAGTTTCTTGAAGCGCAAGTTTATCTTGATCAAATCAGCTCTGTAAACGGCATTTCCAGGTGCAAATGCTTGAGTTTATAAGGCACTCGAGACAGCTTACAATGGGAAGACAAATAAAAGTTATTTGGTAGTTCAACAGAGTGCGAATCCAAACATGGAAAACACTTCATTGTGATGATCATTAAACGACGAAACCCTTATAAACGGTTGAATGAAGGTTGAATTTTCCTTGAAAAAAGAAGTCGGAAAATGATGAATCAAATGAAAAGTCAAATACGATTTGCAGATTTTGGACATTTTCAGTTGATACACTTAAGATTTTCTCGAGCAGCTTATAAACTTGAAGCTTACAAACTTATTTGGAAATTTTTCATTGTCCAATATTTTTGCAAAAAAATTCTGAATAAAACAAGATTGAATTTTGAATTGACAAGAATTATAAAGATTCGTAAAAGAACACATTTTGCTGATTTTCGCTTAAGCGGGTTAACAAAAACTTAGCCTAAAAAGATTGAGAAGAGGCCGAAAAGAAATGAAAAGAAGACGAAATGAGACGAGAAATGCTGTAATTGTTAAATAATGCAAAATAACTCAATAATTCATGTAAACTTGAATCAGTCTACAAATTGAACTTGAAAAGTGAAAACTTTTTCATAAAATGAAACTTATTGAGCAAATTGAATCTCTAAATGTTACTGGCAATGGACGAGTCGATTGAACTTGAACTTGTTACAATTGATGACCATAATTAAGCAATATCAAAGTTAATTGTTTCCTGTCACTGGCGGCAGGCAATTGATGATTGTTATCATCCAATGTTTTGAAAGAAAAGGAGAAAAGAAGAAAAAAAAATTTGATTGAATATTTTCTTTAGGCTCATTAGACTCGACTTGCAACTAGAATCAATTTAACCGAAGCAAAATTATCCAATCTCTAGCTGATAATTTGTTTATACATTTCTTCATCAACAGATCAACATTATCAAATCTTATCCATTTAAAGGTTCAAAATTTGTTGCTCTCTCATTTGCCTTCCCAGTCTGTTTAACAGCATAAAACTTCACACCACAAACACCAATCTTTTTTTCTTCTTCTTCAACACAAAAAGTTAATCGTTTCTCCTCTTTCCTGTACCTTCATCCATTCAGCCTGACTCTCTTTTCCTCCCTTTCCATCCTCATCTTGATCCTCATCTTTCTACTTCTCTATTTTCATTGGAAAAAGATGACAACCTCTTCTTTCCCTCAACAGTTCCTGGTGACTTTTTCAGGCAACAGCAAGAGCAGACCTCAGCATGGAGAAAAAGAGAAGAGAAAAGAAAAAGTTTGATGATTTTGATGGAAGGAACAAGATGCAGAGAAACACAAGAAAAATAGTATCCTAATCCTACTAAGAATTGACCCCTCGGGGTTCCAGTTCTTCTCATACATCAGCTTCTCCAACTTATCATCATAATCATTTTTCCTTACATCCTCATCTCGGTGAAACTCCCACCATTTAATGGACTTTGTTTCCATGTTTCTCTCTGTGTTGCTCAAAAATGGTTAGCAAACAAAAAGACACAAAATATCAACACAACATTAGAAACAAAAAAAAATGTTCATTTCCCATTTTACAAGATTCGACTTCAAGGTTTGATTAGCCAAATATTTATCATCCAAGTTTGGTCCAAAACTGGTTGACCTGATTGCAAATAAAAAGGTTAAGCAAAAAGTGATCACATTGACCAGTGCAATATGAAAGAGCAATAAGTTGAACAACAGAAGCAAAATAAGAGACAAAAAAAGACAAAACAGAACCATTGTTATCAAAATGTTATCAAAACTCGAGTAAAAACTCTTTACTTTTTTTTCTTGTTCTCCTTTTTTTAGCCTGCTTCCAATCAACTGTAAACTGTCTTTTATTCCTTGCTTCTCCTTCACCTCATCCTTGCCTTCCCTTGATCTTTCCCGTCATCCAACTTTTCATCATCTCTCTTCATCTCTTCTTCATCCTTTATTCATCTACACGCAACTTTAACTCCCACAATAACAAACACTCTTCTCTCCCGGAATCGATTTTTTTACATTGAGCAAAGTTCTTGCGTCGTATTATCACTTTCACTCCTTTTTCTCACTCAACCTTTTCTCTTCCTTCACATCATCATCATTATTATTTTCATTCTTCTCACTCTTTCCATCATCCAAACTCGTTCACTTTTTCCTCTTCTTCTTCTTCCATTCCTCTCATTCTGATTGCTTCCAATGGTGTTCAACTAAACAACATTACATTTACATTATATAACAAGATTGGATGAGAAACAGGATGATATGGATGACTGTAATGATGATCAAGATGATTAGGAAGATGAGGATGACAACGATGAAGAAAAGGAAGGTAAAAAGGTAAAACTAAGTAAACTGTATCCTTTAACAATCTATAAAAACAGATTTTCTGTTGATTCTTTTTATTCATTTTCTTCTTTCCTTTTACACAATCCAAATCATTTTGCATCAAATTTATTGCAATGTTCAAATGTTTCTTTCAAATTTAAACAATTTATCATTTGTAATAAAGAAGAGCGAAAGTTTCATCAAAACAATAAGTAGAACCATTTTTACCTTTTCATATCCGTTTCTCAACCGACACCTACAATTATTCAACTCTAATGATATAACATTGTTTTAACTTTCCTGTTGCTAATAATTCATTAAATTGCATTTCAATTTCAATTTTTTCTATTTCTTTTATTTACATTAAATTGATAAAAAATGATTTCATCGGTAAAATGAGATTCCACCTTTGAGCAACTCTAATGTAGTTTCAACATTCATGATGAGTTTCAAGAAGAACATTGAAAATCGATAAATGAAATGAGATTCCAAATGTTATCGCTCAAAAGTCGACTTTGAATCTGTTGAAAGCGAGTCGATTATCAGACTAGAAATTATCATTTCGCCAAATAACTGGATAGATTGAAATGCACTTTTCCATTACTTTGATTGATTTTTCATGGTTCATGATAACAAATGAAGCAATCAAACTGAATTGATTAGCATTGTTTCAATTGTCATTGAAATTTCAATTTCAGCTGAATACAACAATTTTCTCTCAACATGAACAACAAAATGTGAAAGCTAAAGATTAGTCGATTGATAAGGTGAATGCAAAAAAAGCGGAATCTGAATGATTTTTTCTTTCTATTCAGGTAAAGGAGAAAAAAATAGAGGAAAAGGAATGAAAATTATTGGTATCGATCGAGGAATAAATATTCAGTTAAAGATAGAGAAAAGTTTCCTTCTTTTCCCATTTCCATGTTTCACTCTTTTTCACTCTGTTCAACATAAACATGATAAGCACGAAAGTTTCAATGAACAGAATCCAGAAAGAAATGAAAAGAGAGAGAGAGAGCAAAAGAAGTAAACTTGGTAACTATAGCAACGTATAATTTTCATGATAAAATGTGAAGAAAAGGGACAGAAAGAAGCTATTGTGTGCATTGATAAATTCAGTTAACTGAGAGTGTTTTCCATGTTTCCCCTGTGTTGTGTGTAAAATTAAATGCCTCTTGGATCCAGGAAAGCGTATAAACACAGTTTATTAATAGAGAAGCAAGTTGCTTCTCAAGCGACACCATTTTTGTTCAATCCAGTGTTGACTCTCTGTTTAAAGGGAAACCCAGAGAAAAGTTAAATTACTGTCGATTGTTACAGGATATTTTAAGTTTAACCATTAATTTATTCAAGTATCTTTGGATTTGAAAGGCAAAGGATGACGGATAAACCAGTTATCTTTGTCATTGGTGGACCTGGTTGCGGTAAAGGAACCCAATGTGAAAAGATTGTCTCCAAGTAAGTTTGACCTTCTTTCTGTCACTTGTTAGGTTGAACAGTAAAGGCTTTTACAGATTCAAATCAAAGTGCTTATTAGGATCAAATCAGCTTTTAAAGGTTACTAAATGTAAGCTTGAGCCTCTTGAAGTCACCGGAACGTCCGATTTTCGGTTTTTGCTCAACATTTTGTTTTAATTTTGTTTGCTAATCAACTTTAGTAATATTGTCAAAATTGTCAGCCAATGGCTCAAGTTTAATCGTCTTGTTAATGAGGAAACCTGATAACTTTAAGCTCGACTCTGATGTTTATTTTTTTTCAAAAGACATTTTTTTCTCATTATTCATTAGTTGATTAAATTAATGAAAAGGTCAACATTTTCAAGTTTTAATTTTTTTCTTGTCTCTCAAGATATGGATTCACACATTTGTCAACCGGTGATTTGCTTCGTGATGAAGTTAAATCAGGTTCAGAGCGAGGTAAAAGGTTAAACGCAATCATGGAATCAGGTCAACTTGTTCCCCTTGAAGAGGTATTAGGATTATTGAAGGATGCAATTAAGAAAAATGATTCTAATAGCAAAGGATTCTTAATTGATGGTTATCCAAGAGAGGTGAATATAATATCATTTTCATTCTCATTATTATCATGATATTTGATAATATTGATTTTGTCTTAGACTTTCCTTTCCTTTACTTAATGTTTTACTTCTTAAACGATCCTTTTCAACCATTTGCCTTACTTTTTACTTTTTTGTTGCTACTTCTGTTTCCAGGTTGATCAAGCAATTAAATTTGAAGAGCAAGTCAGCAAATGTACTTTTGTCATTTACTTTGACGTCTCGGATTCAGTTATGGTTCAAAGACTATTGAAACGAGGTGAAACCTCGGGCCGAATCGATGACAATGAAGAGACAATCAAGAAGCGCTTGGCCACCTTTCATCAACACAGTGATCCAATTTTGAGCCATTACAAGGACAAGTTGGTAAAAATTTCAGGTGAAAGGTTGCCAGAGGAAATATTTCTGGACGTTTGCAAGGCGATTGAAGATAAATGTAAATAAAGGCGAAATCTCGTTTGCTTTGTACTAGCGCAATGTCACTTGTATTAGCTGTTGTTACTCTTTCAAAGTTTAGTCAATGTTGTCCTCAATCAACAAGTTTAATCACACTGTTCACCTTAAATCAATTTTTAGTTTGCAAACTTCAATTAATAAAAAATGAAAATCACTAAACTTTATCATCTCTTTCCTTCATGACAAAGTTAAGCAGATTAAGATTGTAATCGCACTGAAGGGAAGATGAAAAACTGAAAGAAAAAAGTTTCTTCCATTTTCCCATCATTTTCATCATTCTCTTTGTTCATCATCAACCTTCATTTTTTCCCTTTTTTATCATCATTCCATCATTATTCACAATTATTTGTCATTCAATGACATTCTAATTTCAAGATAATCATTGGAATCAAGATTATCCTGTAATCCAAACAATTTTCAATCTTGTAAAGTTGATAAATATTGATGGAAATGCAAATGAACCATAAAACGCAACTTTCCATGTTAGATGAAAATTTTATGAAAATATTGATATTTCAACAAAAAGGAAAGTTTCAAGATTGATTGAAAGAGTAAACTCGATTTTTCAATCAAAACTTTTATGCATCAAAATATTGAGTCGCAATTGAAAAAGAAACGGAAACAGCAAAACTGAATCGATTGGAAACTTGAGTTTGCATTTTGCTTTTCTTGGCAACAGCTCAGCTATGAATGTTGAAAATTCAAAAAAATGTTCAGGTAAAGTTGAACAGCTTTTACTAATCATTAACCATTTCCGTTTATATTAATTGCCTTACTTTTGCCAAACCCTTTTTTGCTGCTTTTTACAACTGAAAAGGTGTTGAAGCAATTTCAATCTGGAAAAGGCTTCATTAACTAACCATTTGATTCCTTCAAGTACTCAAAGTACTACTTGAACATGAGAATCAAAGGTGAATCATATTATTCGCTAAACTTGGAAGGAAGAGAAAAGAGAATCAAGAGAATCTCTTTTTCATCTTTTCTTCTTCTTCTTCTTTTCTCTTCCATAAGAAGATGTTCAAATAAAGGTGGTCCTTTTGCTGTTTACTTTGGCAGTCTCTTCCAATTTCGCCATGAAAATGATTCAATTCACATTTTTGCCTCATTATACAACTGATCGGAAATGCTAACAAAATGATCAACGCAACACGCTTCTTTAATCATCAATTATTGACGCTTTTCTTTCTTTTCCACCCTTTTCAGGATTCTCACATCTTCTGTTCACTTTTTCCATCTTTTTAATTCAATGTTTGAAACATTTTGATAGCTGCTTTGAAAATGATTTTATGTTTAGATAAAAAGGTTGACCGGAAATATTATTGAATCCAGTTCAAGAGTAATATCCATTGGAATGTCATGAAACCTTGGAATCATGATTGTGTAATTTTGTTGGACAGTTTTTACACATTTCTCTTTGCTTTTAAAGATGTTGAAAATTGCAAGTCAACCCTGTAACTTCCGAACCGGAACCAGAGGAAAACTAAGTAGAGAGATTTGAGCGTAAAATGATGAAAATTGATGGTAAAATGAAAAGTGAATCAATTTCAATGTTGATAACAACAAAAGTACCATGAGAGGCTGTTAATTATTTCCAATCCCTGGAGGTGATATTAATGTATAATTAGAGTTGTTATCATGTTCAGGGTAATTTAGTTATCATGATGCTACTTTTTTTCTGGAGCAACAACGTGAAATGTCATTGGACACTTGAAAGGACATTTGGTTCAACTAATGTTATCTTGAGAGGAAACAGCTCATCCCATTCGAAATAAATGCTGATAAAAATGGAGATTTTTGCTCACTTTAAATTCCAATTTTTTCAAAAGCAACTCTAAAGTTATCGAAACATTTTAACGAAAATCAAGTTTCTTCATGCAATGTCTACAGAAATATTTTTCAATCATAAATTTCGTGTAAAAAGGCAAACCTGTAAAGCTTTGAGAAGTTTTCTAACAATTTACATTTTCTGTCCAAAAAGTATTCGATTCAAGTTTTCGAATTTCGACATTTTCGAGATTTTTCATCGGTTCAGCTTCAATGGCATTGATATTGAAACGATGATCGTCTTATGATGATTTTTAAAGTTTTTCATGAAATGGAAAATCGAAATTTAAAGCAAAAATATGAAGTTTTAAAGAAAACTCGGAAACTCTGGAAAAGTTAAACAAAGAAATTTTAATGAATCAAACTTTTGGTGAAGAAGAAGATGATGATGAAAAAGACGAGTGATTTTGGATGCGCCTAAGGTGATTCTCACTCTCTCAAGGTTCAACCTGAAAAGATTGAGAAAAGAAATGATTTCAAAGACAGTTTTGTTTAGGTTCTAACTGATGAAAAAAAGGATGAAAAAAGGGCGATAAAGAAGGAGAAAAGATCTTCCTTCACTCTGGAAGAAAAAAACTGTGTATATTCTTGGGTTGCAGTTGGAAAGAGAGAAAAGAAAGAGAAGAAAAAAGATGAAACGGAAAATGAAAAGTTAAGGTTACTGCACTTCCTAACACAGGTAAACCAGTTTTATGGTTGAATCTCTTTTCATTTTGTGTCCAACACAGAGAAGCAAAACGACACAGTTTAAGTTGAATCATAAGCTTCTACAAAGACATAATTCTCATCATCATCATCATCAAATCTAGCCAATTGGTTAAATTTTGAGCTCAACAAAACCATTTCAAATCAAATCGAAGTTTACACTGAAAAAGAAAAGGTTGAAAAGAAGAAGAAGAAAAGAAAACAAAAAGAAAGGTAAAATTGTCTTTTAAATCATTCGTAATTGTTTTCCCTTCTTTTGACCAGCAACCTGAATGGTCAAACAGTAGAGCCTCTCATTTAGCAAATTTTTGTTTCCAATTTACTTTCCTCTTTCTGGTCAACTTGAAGCTACTGTTTTCACAGATAAATGCTGCTGCCAATATTAATCGATTGGGTTTGAGTTCTGATTACACTCAATAATAGTGGGTTCATCTTGTCATGATAATCACTTTTAACCAAGTATTTACATTTCATTTGCAAAGGAAAACTCGACTTTCGTTCAACAACAATTTTCTTCATCCGTTGTTACTTGAAATGGACTTAAAAAACTATTACACCTTTGATCCAGTCACGTGACTCTTTATCCAGCTTAATTTAATATTAGCGTGAAACTCCTTTTTTACAGCATTTCATGAGAATTGATGTTATTAGAGATTGCAACTGACAAACTTTCTCTTCTTCTTCTTCCTTCACCAATTGATTGTAAACCAATTTATGGACATTGGCTAATTTAGAGTCCATCATACTTTTACTGCTTATCATTACTTTTATACCATTTATTAATCGATCGATAATCTTGATTTACACTGAATTATTTTTCATATCAATTTTACTTCTCCAGTTTCATTAGTTTGATCATTTTTTATTCATTTTTTTGCCTTCTTTTACGATTCATTTGCAAGAGAAAAAGGAAATTCATTTGACCCTTTTCTTGCTCCAATCAATTTATCGATTCCAATTTAATCAGTTAATTGATTTATAATTGAATTAAACAGTCAATCTGATTTGGAAAGTTAAAACAAAAATTAAACCAATTTAATCAAATTGCTCATCAGTAATTAAATTACATTAAATCGTAAATAATCAACTTTTGATTAACACTTCGCAAACGACTTTAAATTGATAACCAAATTACCTGAAAATTCAAATCCAATTGAGATGTTAATCAAACAGATTAACAAAGAAAGAAAAAGAAATCATTTTTTCCAAAAATTCAACTTTTATTGTGAAATTGCAATCTTCCAAAAAGTGAACATTAAAGAAGCAAATTTTGAGGAAAAAGAATGAAAAAATCGGTTAATTTATCTCAAGTTTAAGCTGTAAATCAAGGGAAAAGAAGAAAAAATTATAGAATAAAGTTGATCGGAAATTTTTAAAATGATTACTCAAATGTTTTCATCATTGATTAACCTGATCATAATCATGGTTATAAGTCACATGATTTGTGGTCAAGCAAAAAGTAATTCCTGTAAGTTAATAAAATGGCTTTTTTCTTGTTCGCCATCCTTTCTCTTCATCATTATCTTCATTTTTATTTTATTTTCACTTTGACCAAGTCGATCAATCAGCTTACCCTATTGATTGGAGGTAATTACATGGATGAAAATAGTAGCCGTAAGGCTTTTTTTATATTCAATGTTTACCTCTTAAATAAGTTTCAATGGGTCCATATGAAGAGGGATGATGATGATGATGATGGCGATGAGGATAAAAATAGGGAAAGAGAAGCGAAGATGAAATGGATTGAAAAAGTTTGTTGAGCCAATAAAATGGAGCTAAAGCAATTTACGATCTTTTTTTGCCTTGTTTTACTTTCCTCATCATCATCATCATTTTCATCAGCAAAATCTATTTGGATTCCTTTCTTTTCCTCTCTCTCTCTCTTTCTCTCTCTTCTTTTTCATCCACGATTCTTTACCATGTTGGTTGACTGTTAGTGATGATGAATGAAACAACAACAACGAGGATGTTTTTCACACAAAAGGGAAAGACAGTGAAAAGCTATAAGCCAAGCCTCTCTTGCCATCTTTTCCTCTTTACGGACTAATTGCATGTTAGTTGATGCAGCAGCATCCATAGACACTTCATGATGCCTTTTAACTTTCCTATGTTCAGTTCACTCTTTGACCCTGAGTACGCCTTGATTTTCCCTTTTGATTGCTGCACGATCATCATCATCATCATCTTTACCTTGGCCTTTGCGCTTGCAAATTTTCATCTCTTTTTCTTCTTCTTCTTCTTGTTGCTGCTCAAATAGTTTAGGCAAGTTTACGCTTAATAAGTAGTTGTTACCTGTGCAAAGAAGAGCAAAAAGTTTCATTAATTTCTTTTTCTTTTCTTTACAATAAACATTTCATTTGATAAGGCCAATGAAGCCAATAAATATCATCAACAATGAAAATAGTAATTATCGTTGTTTGTTGAGAGAAAACAAAATATCCATTTCCAGATGAAATCATTATAGAATGGAATCATTTTTTTCTCAACTCGATCATCATTAATGCATTTCAATAAAAGATACTATAACTTACAATATTTTCCCGTAAAGTCGATTAAGTTTTTCCAGAAATTCGGGCAACACTCTTATAGCTTTCTAATCTAATCTCATCTGAAGAATGGACCTTTGCATT